GTCTGCTTTAAGGTATGTAGGTGTGAGCCCTACCCAAAAATTTCCACTTTCATCATTGGCCAGAACTAAGTTGTGGAGCAAACTGTACTTCCAAGAGAGGCTGGTTTTAGATGAAAACATCACCACGCCCAACAAAATAAAGGAAGAAAGAGAGAAGGGCTGTCAGGCAGCAGCCCCAAACTTCTGACTCAGGCTGCTGCTTAGTTATCGTAGGAGATCCGTTGGAGGCGGTGGAGCAGAGATCACCAGGCAGGGTGCCGGCCTGGGGAAGCTGGGTACGAGTGCAGCAGGCTGAGCTTGTCAGAAGCAGGCAGGCGGCGTGCTGATGCAGAGAGGAGCAAGGCTCTGTCCAGTGGATCTGGATTCTGGTCCTGGTTCTTTTATTTACTGTGGGACCTTGGGCCAATCAATTAGCCTCTCTGTTTCTGTTACTTTTTCTGAGCATTTAAAAAGTGCCTCCTAACAATATCTCCAAGCAATATTGTTGTGGTGATTGAATAAGTTAATCCACGGAAAGTACTCATTTGGAACAGTGTCTGACATGTGGCGATGCTCAGAAAACAGCAGCCATTAGCCAGTGTTGGTAAAATGAGGTCAGAGGCCCTTGTTTTATAAGGTGGTTGTGAGGATTGGAGAGCAAACGAAACAATGGGGAAGCAGCCAGCACAGAGCAGGCACTTCCCTTTCACACCCTTCTTGTAGCCACCCCATCCTCCTCACTCACCCCTGCAGCTGAGCGAGTGGGCTCTGACCTCAGGGCCTTTGCACTTGCTGTCCTCTCGGCCAAGAACAGCTTTCCCACACATACTCTCTTCCCTCCATCTCTCACTTTATTCAAGTCTCTTCTCAGAGGGGCTTTTCCTGATCCCTTCATATGTCCATCCCTCACTATCCTCTGACACGACCATAATTCTCTTCACAGTGCTAATCACCATCTGACATTACTGTATTTTGTTTACTATTTTGCCATCCTCAGAACACAGGCTTCGTGAGGCTCTGTAGGAACATTGACTGTTTTGTTCAGGGCCCAGCACGTGATGGGCACTCATTGAACATCCGTTGAATAAACCAGTAGTAAATATTTAATCAATACTTATTTCCTTTTAAAATGTGAGCATTTTCTAAAAGCCAAAAGAGGAGTCCAGTCCAGAAGGAAGATTAGATGGAGGTTGGAGAATTTGAACTTAGGAGAGGTCAGAATAGAATTTGATTTAGAATCCAAAGCAGTTGGGAGAGAAAGTTAGTACCAGACAGTCCAGTGTGAATCTGATTTTGAGGCAAGTTCTGGATAAACCAGAAGACATTTTTATACCCACTACCAGGTTAAGGACTTAAGCTCAGTTTTCAGGTGACTCGGGGCTTGTGAGTTTGGGTAGGGAACTGGTTTCACTTAGTGTTTTTCAGTCTTTTTCATTATTGTCCTCCTTCTCTCACCCTGGAGAAAATTTTAATTTAATTTAAGTTCTAACACAAGAAATTAAATACCAAGGAATAATTGTCAGGTGGGATTGAGCTTTGTAGGGGAGTGGGGCATTAATCATTATAATATCTAAGTTTTGGGGGGGGCATCCTACCACCACCAGTTGTCACCCCTTGTGGGTGACATCACCCTGCTGAGAATATAGGACTCAGCTGAAAGGCGGTCCAAGAATGTTGGTAGTTTCTAACACCATATCAGTAAATTACCTCTGGGACAGAAGCGTTTGTTTTGAATGTTAAGGCTGTCAGCTTCAAGCTACTCAAAATTAATTTAAATTATCATGGCTATTTGCTTGAGATGGGAAAGTAATTGGAGAATTATGTATGGTAGACCAAAGTGAACTGTACCATTTCAGTAGACCTCCATGACCGAAAATTCTACTCCCTGTTGAACTGGATTGATCTTCAGGATGAGAAGCTCTTAAGACCTTTACACAGACCAACCATGGAGGGATGTTGGTATTTGTAACCATTTGCAGATTTCTGTGTCTCCTCTGGGTCACCATTCTGTTCACTGGAATATTTGACCCTGGACGCTTTCCTTGGATGTTGTGGAAGAATCACACTTTCCACAGTAGTGTTGTAAGATTGTGTATCTTTTCATATGCCCTGAGTCGTCTCAAATCGTTGCAGTGGGTGGGAATGCCTCTACTTCCTTTATTTATAGAGAATCCTAGAAAAGAAGTTGACCAAAAAGGGGGCTGGAAGGAAAATTCCCAATTATAGGTATGGAACTGAAAGATTATGTAGCCCATGAACAACTTAATAAGACTAAATTTCCTTGATGATGTCTGTACTCTTGAAATAATTTTTCCTTTTCTGAAAACTCCTTCCCTGCCCTCACCACATTCAGGGTCAGAGGGTGGGCTCCTGGCAGCTATGTTGATTCCTCATGACCCGAACCCCCTGCTATAACTGACTGGACTACTGATGGACAAATGATCCAGTCTGAGCCAATCAGCTTCACTCACCTCTAATGTATTCATTCACAACTTTTGAGCTGCAAAAAGCAGAAAACAACTCAAGATAAGACTTGGAGTGTGTTTTTTGTCTTTTTTTTTTTTTTTTTAGTTTTGTTTTGCTTTACTTTGTTTTTTTAAGCAGTTAAATTTTTCAAGTGTAATTTATTGTGAGGATGGATAAGGTCTTTCAGATTGAGGGGGAAGGCAGTAACGCAGCCTGGTCCAGGATGGCCGAGACTCGGGATGCTGTGGGAAAGCCAGGGCATTCTCTCACCCGTCTTGGATCTCTGCCTTTTGCAGATCATATTTACTTTCTTTCTTGGCAAGCTGATTTTCTCTACTCCTCAGTTCACACAGCAGGTAGAGTCTTGCCATCCAGAGGCCCTAGTTCTAAAGTTAGAGCTTCTGCCACATGCTGGAGACTAGATCCTTTCTCTCGAGGTCTCTCCGTTCTCAGGGGGGAGCTCTATTCCAACTTACAAGAGATGCCCAGCTCGGGACCCATCAACAGGGGCTGGAGGCTTGTCTTATATTATGTGGACATGGCTCCCAGGAGTGCACCTTCGTCAGTTCTGTTAAGAGGATTGTCATAGACTTGTTACACACTAGTTTCCATTTATTTAGGCTTCTCCCCACTAGACTATGAATGCCTTCAGGACAAGGAATTTGCCTTTTTGCAGCATATTCCCAGTGCCAAGTTCAAGGACTGTTTCTGAATAGATGTTCAGTAAATACATGTTGCAAAAATACAAGTTGACATCAAGAAAATCTCTGTTACTCCTAAGTTTGATTCTCCTCAGATTTATTTAAGGAACATCTTGCTCAATATATTTACTTATTTCCATGCGTATGAACCATCTGAACTGTGACTAACACCTTGAATCACCATCAGAATTTTCACTTTAAACGATCTTTTAAAAATTGTTTTAAATTATTGAGAGTCTGCAAGGTGACAGACACCATGCTGGAGTCTGGAATATACTGATGAATCAGATATTGTCGCTGTATTCGGGAACCTCTCCGCTAAGTATGAGAGACCTTGGGGATCATTTAGCTTAACTTTCTCATTTTACAGATGAGGAAACAGACTCATAAGAGTAGTTAAATCTGATGGAAAATGTTTTGATTTATTCATAAGACATTTAGTATGTCTGTATGGAGTTACTTTTCAGTGAGAGGTGTTACTTTGGCCAAAGGAGACATTCAGTTTTTGTACATGTATGGATTATCTTTTCTTTGATTCTGCATTTCTTTTTAATAGGCATGTGATTATGTAGATGATATTTGCTAAGCTTTTGATGTATTTGGAACCGATTAATAGCTGGCACTCAAGTTCTTTGGAAACTCACGTCTTACTCTATTGGAAATTTCTTTATGGTTACTGAGTAATAAGGTCATTTATTATTGACATGGCTTCTGACAGCTCTCCCATTTATTATTATTCCTTGTTAAATCACTTCCTGAGAAGGCTGGGAACGTTTTCCATCTCCGATGGCACGGTTTATATTGACTTTCTCTGGGTGAAAGTGAAGTTCTGAGAAGAGACTGAAAGGGGTCCTTTTTCTGTGTTTACAGAGGATGGAGGTGAAAATCTCTCTGGTGGAGAAGGAGAATTGGCAGTGGAACGCAAGCAACCTTTCCCTGGAGGGGGGGGGTGTTGTGCACCAGGCACTGCGCGTGGTCAGTGCGGGGGGCACTGCTCGCTCGGGCAGGGGAGCCGCACCTGCCGCAGCTGACTGGGCAGGCTGCTGAGCGCCCAGCTGCTGTGAGCCCCGTGCTCAGGGCCACGCCAGGTCTTCTCACCCTGCGGCTTGGAGAAACATTCTCTGCAGAAGGTGGCTTTGGGGTTGGTCAAAGAGTAAGTTTACAGCTTACCAGAGAAAGAATGGAGGAGACTAAAAGCTGTAGGTTGTAAAGGGACAAGCTTCCCTCTGAATCTACATGGTAAGGATGGAACCACCAGCTAAGCTTAGGACGGGTGGTGTTCAGAGCCTGCGTCTCCCCACGGTGTTGACTGGCTCTTTCTCCTCTTGGTAGTGCTGTCAGAACAGAGTCCTAGGATGGAGAGACCTACTGTGTGTGCAGTTGGGCTGATCAAGGCAGGTGGACGTAGATTTGATCCTCCTAGGAATGTGAGCTCTTAAATATGTCCAGGCAGAAACCCCCTCCGATCTTCTGGGGAGTCTTGTCACACAGACTCCCTGATGGGTATGAGTCTGGTGGGAATTGTCTAGCAAAAGCCATCTTATTTTCCCACTGATCAGGGAAACTTCCTGGAGAAGGTCAGAGTTCCAGAGGTTTCTTGTCTGGGGGAAGGGTGTGTATGTGTGTGCGTGCGTGTATGCGTGCATTTGTGTCTGTGTGTGTATCTGTGTATAGGTATGTGTCTGTGTGTGTACAGGGTGGAGGGAGCTAAGCTGTGGGTTGGAGAGAAGTGGGGAGAGACATTAGGCTCCTGGATCAAAAAGCAAACACCGTCCCTCTGTATCTCAAGAGGCCACATATTCTGCGTAGGAAGCTCACTATTATGATTGGAAGATTTGTTTTTTCCTCTTCCAGGTGTGAACGAGTCCAGGGGAGGTCACCGTGTCGCTGCTGGAGGAACAGCTCGTTTCCAGGTCCTTCGCGTGGCCCCGCCATGAAGTGAACCAAGCGGGGACTGGTGGGACGCTTCCTTCCTTCCCTCGCCGAGCACTCCGGGCCCAGCGATTGTTCTACTGTTGTTCTAATTGTGTCCCGTCCTCCCCTTGCCAAGGCAAACAGCGTTCCTTCAGCTCGTCTGCCAGCCCGAACATGAACACAGACAAAGCTGATGACAGCCCGCGTTCCCAAGGGACGTGGGGCCCTGTGGGGCCCGGCCCCCAGGAGCAGGTCCGCTCATGATGCTGGCGCCCGGGAGTGAGCACCATGCCCATCACCCAGGACAATGCCGGGCTGCACCTGCCCCTGCTCTACCAGTGGCTTCAGAACAGCCTGCGGGAGGGCGGGGACGGGCCGGAGCAGCGCCTCTGCCAGGCGGCCATCCAGAAGCTGCAGGAGTACATCCAGCTGAACTTTGCTGTGGATGAGAGCGTGGTCCCGCCTGAGCACAGCCCCCCGGGCATGGAGATCTGCACTGTGTACCTCACCAAGGAGCTGGGGGACACAGAGACTGTGGGCCTCAGTTTTGGGAACATCCCTGTTTTCGGGGACTATGGAGAAAAGCGCAGAGGGGGCAAGAAGAGGAAAACCCACCAGGGCCCTGTGCTGGATGTGGGCTGCATCTGGGTGACGGAGCTGAGGAAGAACAGCCCGGCAGGGAAGAGTGGGAAGGTCCGACTGCGGGATGAGATCCTCTCCCTGAACGGGCAGCTGATGGTCGGAGTTGACGTCAGCGGGGCCAGGTGAGTGAGGGAGCGCCAGCTGGCATGGGGGCTGGATGTGGGGCCCCTGTGGTTCACTTACGTCCGATGCTGGGATCTGCAGCTGCAGAGGGTTGCGGGTCCTACCGTGGGAAGAAGCTGATGGCATTTATCCTATAAAGGGAAAATCCATACTCTGAGTTGAAGCTTTGTGGCATTTATGTATTTCTTTTTTGCTTCATTCTCTGTGAGAAGATTAGGCTTGGAGTCTTTCCTTTTTCCTTGACACTTGGGGTAGAAAGAAAAGAAATAGTACATGACTGTTTCTTCAGAAAGAGAAGGAGAAATGTCACATCGAGTTAGACCCTCTTTTCCACTCAACCCAGCATCTCACCTCCAATCACCGCACCAAAGATTGGGTCCTGGATACGTTTCCATCTGGCTGTCCCATGTCACCTTTGTCACAGACTCATAGTCCAGAAGCCCCTCGAGATGTTTAGAAATGTCTGTAGACCAGCCCCAACTCCCCCAGCCTCCCCGCCCTGGAAGGTGCCGTTGGATCTCATCTGAATGAACATATCTCTGCTTCCTGCCCATGTGGCCACCCACCATGGCACTGAGTTATTGTTCTGTTGTTTCTCCGGTGAATTCAGGTCCCCAGTTCCACCCTCAGCTTCAATGATACCCTGGAAGAGCTCACAGAGCTCAGAAAAGCTATTACGCTCCTGATTGCAGTTTATGATAGTGAAAGGAATGAGATTAAAGTCAGCAAAGGTAAAGGGTGCACAGAGTGGAGTCCAGGAGAGACCAGGCGCGTGCTCCCAGGTGTCCTCTCCAGCAGACTTGTCCAGGAGCACTGAGTTCTCCCCGCAGTGATGTATGACAACTCATATGGAGTATCGTCAGCCAGGGGAGCTCACCCAAGCGTTGGTGTCCAGCGTTTTTGTTGGGGGTCAGTCACACAGGCATGGAGTGTCTGTGTGGTTGCGTCAGTTACTCGGTATCTAGTCCTTCCAGGGGTCAAACTAATCCCACATGGCCCGGCCCCCACCGTATATCACATTATTAGCATCATCTGCCTGGTATGGCCCAAGGCCCCAGGTATACAAAGACACTCTTATCAGGCAGGATGAGGGCTTAGAGAGTTGCCTTCCGGGAGTCTGTCAAGGGACAGTCCTTTCTTTGAAATATACAGAGATTGAATCCCCCAAACCTGCTGCATTAACCCATTACTGCACACCAGGGTTTGAATGATGGGCGTATGTGAAAGAGACAAGAGAAGAGAAGATACATCAGTTTGGTCAAGCCTTCAGGGGCTCCTGTGAGAAGGGCTTCTATATCCCAGAAGGAGAGCACTAGGGAGAGAAAGCCACCTTGAGAACCATGATGATCTTTTGATGGGAGTGACATCTAACCCGAGAAGACCTTGAAGAGAAGAAGCCAGAGCAGAAATACCTTGACTTCAATCTTCTCCTTCCCTTCTGTCTCCTACTAAAGCTTCCGATTAGTAGGAATCAGACAGGGGCAAGGGAGCCCACTGATATTGTCCGTATGTGGTAGCACCCTGGGGCACAAGGCAGGGTAGAAAAGGGCAGAGCGTAGACATGGAGAGTCAGGAAGAAGTCATCAGGCACATGCCATGTGGTCTGAGTTTAAATGAGCCAGTGCGTGGAAAGGACGTAGCGCAAGACTGGCTGGCTGCTGTGGGTACTTGCTCAGTGGACACTCTCACCAGTATTTCCTTTGGGTTGCCTCTTCGACTGATGAGATGCTCTTGGCTAATGGCTGAGTACCTAACTGGCAGTTACTGGGAGATGCTGCTCATTTTCAAGGAGGGGTGCTGATGAGAAATATTCTTATTTGCGGTTAGAGATCACTCTTAGCAAAGGAGCAGGGCTGACCGTGGTAACACTCAAGATGCTATAAGGATTTGAGAAGGTGGCTTTAGTCCCTGGTGATGGGGTCCTTCAGGTTGGAAGTGGGGACCACCAAGAGGCAGCCCTCTCAAAGCAATTCATGAATGTCCTCACCATTTGCAGCTGTCTGATCTGTAGGGAGTGGATTGGGATGGAGAAGTAGGAGGAGGAGCAGGGAGAGCACACGCAGCAGGAGAGCCTTGTGGTTGGGAGCTGCAGCGCCGGAGCCAGACAGCTGGGGCTGCCTCCCCAGGTGCCGCCACTTACCAGCTGGTTGACCCTGGGAAAATCACCCCTCTTGAGCCTCTGATTTCCCATCTGTGAAATGGGAACAATGACACTATTGATACCAATGACTAAAAGATGACAGAATGCACATGTAGGACTTAGCACTGTGACTAGTAAATTGTGCTCAATAAAAGTGTCAAAACGACTATAGTACACGGACAGTGTTATGGAAACCTGGGATTTTCTTATCCCAGAGGTTGGTGGGGTCTTTAGGACCTTGCCGAAAGAGTCTTCCCATTATGGGGAAATTTTATTCACCTGCTCAGGAAGCTCTTCTCTTGTCTGGCTTAAGGCTGTGGGGTCTGTAGGAGGCAAATTTTTCTATCCCAGGCTCTGAAAATATATCTGGCCCTGGAATAAGATGGCTTTGCAGCCACAGGGAAGGATTCCTGGTGATTTTAATTTACTTGTTGGAGGGAGTGGTAGGATGATGCCCATTTTTGCAAAGAAAAAATGGAAGTAGATTTTCCAAGCATGGCTTTTTTACTAGTAAACAGTCATGACTTGGAAATTCCCATCTCTGATGGGGTGGTCTCGTGTGTGCCCTGGACGAGGAGGGGCCAGGTGAGGGCTGGTCTTCCTGGAAGCCACTGAGATGCAGGAGTAGGAGAAGGGAAGGCCAAGACGGTATAGAAGTGAATCAAGTAAAGAGGCAAAGGTTCCTGGAGCCATGGTCTCCCAATGCCCAGAACAAACAACCAAGGAATTAACAAGACAGGAGAGAAAGAAAATAGGTTGATTTTTCAAGATCCACTCTTTAGCTCTCTGGAATAATTATAAGAAATACTATGTGTTGAACAGGTGCTACCATATGAACACTCTGCCCTCCACTATGTTATTTAATAATGACCACAACTCGATTAAGGACAGTTTTAGATCAGAGACCTTGACCCCAGAGAGGCCATGTAACTTGACCAAGGCCACCTAAGAAAGAGGCAGAACCAGATTTGAGCTTAGGTCTAGCTGCCACCACAGCCTGTGCCCCTAAATCCTGTGCTGTGCCACCCCAAATCTGCCCCAGATTATACCTTGTCCTCGTCCCGTGGTCTGGTGCTTAATTTCATGAGTGGTTTACTGCTTCACAAAATACCTCCTCGTAGATACCGAGGAAGCAAGTGACAAGAACAAACTATAAGGCTTCTACCTACTCAAACTGACAAGGAAACAGTAGTCCCCCCTCACCACCGCCGCCATGTCTTATAAAAGGAAACCCAGTTTAATATTGAGTTCCTCTGGCAAATTTGCATCTAGTCCAAGCTTTAGGACTGGAGGCACTTTGAGATTAGGTACCAAAGAGTTTAAAGTGTTTTGAATGTTCTCAAGATGTCCCTTTTCACTCTTTATAACTGACTAATAGTTTCCTTCAACGCTAAATGTTTCCACATACCTGTTTAAGTTTTGTTCTTCAAAGTGGTGAGTAGGAATTAGGGGTCTGCCCCTCAGTGAACAGCCCCCTCCATGACTGTCTCTTCACGTTACTTGCAAGCAACAGGTTTCGGGTGTCAGCACACTAACTTCCCTGCCACCCCACCAACATGGTAAGTCACCCACGACATCACTTGGAATTATACTATGAGGCCCTCCTGCAGGCAATGCATTCTGCTCCTTCTCTTGAGTTTGATTTTCAATTCAAAACTACTTTAGATAATGTTATGGTTGAATTGTGCATCCTATTCACCAAATTCATATGTTGAAGTCCTAGCCCCACCCCATACCTCAGAATGTGGCCTTCTTTGGAAATAGGACCATTGCAGAGGTAATTAGTTAAGATGAGGTTGTCGCAGGAGGGATAAATTCGGAGTTTGGAATTTGCAGATACAAACTATTCTATATGAGATAGGTAAACAACAAGGTCCTACTGTAGAGCACAGGGAACTATATTCAATTTCTTATAATAGCCTATAATGAAAAAGAATAGATATATATATATACATAAATGTATAATGGGATCACTATGCTGTACACCAGAAACTAACACAATATTGTAAATCAACAATACTTTAATTGAAAAAAAAATGAGGTCATGTGGGAGTAGGAGGGGCCCCTAACCCAATATAAGTATTGTCCTTGTAAGAAGGGCAGATTTGGACACAGACACGCATCCAGGGAGAGGCTGGGGTTATGCTGTCACAAGCCAAGGAATTACCAGAAGCTTAGGAGGGGGACCAGGATCAGATACTTCTCCAGTACCTCAGAGGGAGCATAGCTCCGCCAACACCTTGATCTTGGACTTGTAGCCTTCAGAATTCTAAGACGAATCTCTGTTGCTCAGGCCCTGGGTTAGTGGTGCTTTATTATGGCAGTCCTAGCAAACTAACACACGTGACATTTTGACCCTGTCACCTATGGCTACTCAGTTATTCAAACAATTTCCTTCCTGACAAGGTTACTGTGGAAACTGTAGAGCCCCGTGGATGTTTTTGGAAGAGGACGCTCTGAAAACTGTGTGTGTGTTAAGTGTGGGAGGAGCAGGTGCAAAATGTAGAAGATGAGATCATGGTTTGCTTATTTAAAAAATCAGCTTAGGGTCAGTTTGGAAAGTTCATCTCTGGAGGAAGAGCAGAGAATTCATAGCGATGAGTTTGTCACCCTCCTGCACCCCAGGACCAGTTCCGGCGCATAACCTGTGACGGTCCCAAAATTACAGACGCCTTTCTGCTTTCTCCCTGACTGACTGATACTCCTGAGGTCTGCAGTTGGCTTCCAGGATCCCCAGGTAGCTCTGGGAACCCCTCATTCTTTTGAGTGATAACAGCATCATCCCGGAGTGACATTCGAGAGAACTTTCTGAGACGGGGAGCAACGCCGGTAATGTTTGATGTCGAATGCCCATCTTGC